TAACTTCCCTATGTTCACGAATGAGGAGTTAGAAAATACAATGAAAGACAAGATCCCATTCAGGATAAAGACAAGAAATATAAATGCCTAGGATCAGACATAATTAGAAATACATCAGACCAATACAAAGACTGTGAAGTATACTGAGATGCTAAAACCAATGGGTGAAAGTTTGATGAGGAACAGGATTTTTCATGGCCTCAAAGTGCCCTTCCGTGAATTACTTATTAACTAAAAATGGGAAAGAGTAAATCCACAGTGGAGAAACCCGGAGGGCACCTCCTACCAAGTGATCAAAGTGCACATCCGCAGTACTGGGACAAATGGGGAAGCATTTGCATGTTTGTAATCCGATTACATTTTCAGTAATAGTGTTTTCTCTCTCCGCTATATTAGTGCATCAGGGTCTTTCCGTTGGCAGGATTCTTTATTTCCCCAACACTACACATATTTAAAGTGCACAATTTAACAAGATTTGACATATGTTTATACCCATGAAACCATCACCACAATCAAGATGATGAACGTATCAATAACCCTCTGCAAAAGTGTGCCTTTGGTAATTCCCTTCCTTTTTAAATGTCAGCCACAAACGACAACGGTATTAGCAGAACATGTGACTCAGTCACCAAAAGAAATTACAGATATTTCCAGGTCACGATAGAGTTGATGCAGATACCTTGGACTATTATTTATGCATTGCATTACTTAAATATTTATTTAATGAAAAAAATGTGTGATAGTTTAATAATTATATTTTAATATAATTGGGATTTTTGTTTTGGTAACTCTATGTATCTTTAAATGCCTTTAAAAACATTGTTCTGGCCTAGGATAAGCCAGATCGAGAAAGACAAACACTGTATGATTCTACTCATATGTGGAAGATAAAAAACATGTGGACAAAGAGAACTATTTAGTGGTTACCAGACAGCCCGAGGAGTCACTGGCCTGACCATGTTGAGCACCCATGCTCTAAAGCAACAGAACAGCCCCATGGACGAGACCCTCGCGCTCTGGCCTGCAGGGGCTCTTCTACAGGCCCATCCCGACCTGTCCCCTCCCCAAAAGCAAGCCAACCAGTGGATATGCACAGAACTTCCTCAATGCTTTTTATTGCCTCGTTTTTAATGCAAACAAAGTCCACCAGACATTCGGGGAAAGCTTGCAACACAAAAGAGAAACTAAATAATCAAACAGCAAAGAGTGGTTTCAGAGGAAAACCATGCAGGGAACATAAGAGAATTAAAAAAACAAAACAAAAAAGGCTCTCTAACTACTATTCTCAGTAATTAGCTTCAGGAAGATATCATATCCATAAAGCAAAGGCAAGAACAACAGAGAACAAGAAGTTCTCAGAAAATAAAAATATTATTGCTTACATTAAAAATTAATTAGGGGGGCCGGCCCAGTGGCGCAGCAGTTAAGTGCACACGTTCTGCTTTGGCAGCCCGGGGTTCACTGGTTCAGATCCCGGGTGCGGACATGGCACCGCTTGGCAAGCCATGTTGCGGTAGGCGTCCCACATAGAAAGTAGAGGAAGATGGGCATGGATGTGAGTGCAGGGCCAGTCTTCCTCAGCAAAAAGAGGAGGATTGGCAGCAGATGTTAGCTCAGGGCTAATCTTCCTAAAAGAAAAAAAAGAAGATTTGGAAAATAAAGTTAAGGAATCCAGGAGACAGGACAAAATAAAGAAAAGAAAAGGCAAGATACAGGGAATCTTATTGCTTTGCGCAAAAAAGAAACAAGGTACCTGGGATTGCTGGCTAGTTCCAGGACGGGGAGATATGGGGCGTTCTGTGGATGAGTGTGGTAGATTGCCCTGGCGGTTCTTCCCACCCTTTATTCATACCCTTGCAAAGTGGCTTTACACCCTTCTGGAAGAGCTGGAGTCTGTTTCCACTCCCCTTGAATCTGGGCCAGCCTTGTCACTTGCTTTGGCCAACAGAATGTGGCAGAAGTGATATGCCATTTTGGAGAAGTGATATGCCTTCTGATAGGCCTAAAGAGCACTTTTCTCTCTCTCAGAAACCTGCCCAGCCATCATGAACACAAGCCTAGGCTAGGATGAGAGACCACGTAGGGCAGAGATGGTCCATCCCAGCTGAGCCCATCCTAGGCCCATCAGTTCCCAACAGAATTGGCAACTAACTACAAAAGCATGAGTGAGCCCAGATAAGATGAGAACTGCCTAACTGAGCCCAGCCCCAAATTACCAACCTGCAGAACTTTGAGCTAAATAAATGGTTGCTATGTTAGTCTGTTACCTTTTGGAGTAGATTTCTACTCAGCAAAAGCCAACTAACACAACTGTCTCCCTCTACCTCCTTATAGGGGGCTCTCCTATATTTCGCAGAGACTGGAAACTGAAAGAATACATTTCCAAGACATCTTTGCTACTAGAGTGATGAATATAAACTAAGGTCTGACAATTAGATGCCCCCTCAGAGATTTGGGGGGCTAGAGGCTATCTTCTTGCTGTCACTTCTGAGAGCAAGGACACGGAGACAGGAGGGCCCCCGCCAGTCTCAGCAGTCAGACTCAGCATTCCTGCATTAAGCAGATGTCGAGACAGAGCCGTGTGGAGCTAGGGGTGGCAGCAGGGGCCTCCTCCTCACTTCTGATTATGGTTGTGGTGATGTGCTCTTGAACTCAGTTACTCCAGGGGCAGCCCCCTGACTCCTGTTCCTCCAGCCCCACTCACAATTTTGTAACCAGTAATTCCCTGCATTAAATTCCTTCCTGTGAAAAAACTGATCATGTCAAGTGTTGGTGAAGAAGTGGACTGGACTGGAGTACCTGGAACCCTCACTACACTGCTGGTGGGAATGTAAAGTGGTGCAACCACTTTGGAGAACTGTTTAGAAGCTTCTAATAAAGCCAAACTACCCTATCATCCTGCAATTTTTGAATGAGGGCATAATTCCACAAAAAGACTTATACATGAATGTTCATAGCAGCTTTATTCATAAATATTCCATTAAAAATAGAATGGATAAACAAAATGTGGTATATGCATGTAACAGAATCCTACTCAGCAATGAAAAAGAGCAAATTCCTGATATATTCAACAACGTAGATGGATGTCAAAAATATGTCGAATGAAAGATGCCAGACACAAAACAGTATGTAGTATATGATTTAATTTATATTAAATTCAAGAACAGACAAAATAAATTATGATGATGGAATCAGAATAATGATTGGAGGTGGAGATTGATAAGGAGTACAAAGGAACTTTCTGGGGAGATGGAAATATTCTAGATCTTGATCTAGGTGCTGGTTACACAGGTAGTTACTTGGATAAAAATTAATCAAGTTGCACACTGAAGATTGATGTATTTCACGGAACGTAAATTATGCTTTGAGAAACAAAACCCTTCCATGCACAAAATACCTATGGTAGTTTCTGTTTTCTGCACTGAATTCCAAATCCTGGGGGAGGGGCCCTAGGACAAGAGATAATAAGAGGGGCCGAAAGCAAGCAGGGCAGGAGCAGTGTGGCAGGAAGCTGGGGCCATGGAGGGATGTGGCCCAAGAGAAGTCTGCTGTGTTAGAGGAGGCCCATGAATTTTAGGAACTCTGATTTCTAACTTCGATGGCATGTCTTGCCCGTGGGCTCATTTCCCTGTCTTCCCATGAAACCTCCAGTAAATGTCTGGTGCCAAGCAACCTGTATCAGTGGTTCTCAGTAACGAAGGGCAGGATGGCAGCTCCTGAGTGGCAGGTGACCAGCAACACAATGCCCTGAGGCCAGAGAGGAGGCCATGCTGACCACAGGGGCTGGATAGCTTTGAAGGAGCCAGCTGTAGCAGGGACTGACCCAGGAGCTGACATGAACCAAGCTCCCCCTCCTTCTGAGACCCCTAAGAGGTAAGGTGGGCTTATAGCAGACCCTGTTATGTCCCAGATCATGGCTTGGCCCATCTCATGTGGCTGGTCAAGGCAAGGGTGACCTCAGGAAGCCAGAGGACTCAGAGACCTTGTGTTGTAGAAAAGAAATTACCAGAAGAGAAGACTCCAGAGGATCACCAGCAATTACCTTTGGGTGGTGGCAGTATGAGGACAGATTTTGGGTTTCTTCATCAAACATTTCTATTTTTTTCCCATATTAAATATATATGCCTCTATTAATTTTTCCCCAGCTTTATTGAGCATATATATTTTTTTGTAATAAAATTGTTTGAAAAAATAAAGTAGTTTAAAGAATAACGGTTTAAAAACTTATTTGAAACGAGGTTGTAAAGGTAGGGGTTATATTTTGTTTTCCAGTCTTGGAGAGTTCTCTGAAGAGACTCAGACTCAGAACATGTCCCTTTTTGGGGCCCTCTGGCGCTATCTTTGGGCCTGACTCTGCTCTCTGGGGGAAGACATGAGCTGGTGGTTGCTGACTCATTACACGTGAGCCACAGCCCTCCGTGGAGCACTGGCCTGGGGACATGGGCCACCTGCTTGGGGATGAGCTTTATGGGGGAGAGGGGCTCTGAGGCCTTCACTGGCGGGTGGCCTGGGGCACAGATCACTCTCTAGACTTGCCCTTCCACTAGTAAATGGACAACGATCAATGAATTCTACTCATGAAACAGGGCAGAATGCAATCAACAATATAAGATAAAATAATATAAATAGCCAGACTGGGTCAAAAGATGATTTTTAAATTTCACTTTTTAATTTTTTTCTTGAAATAATTTCAGACTTTGAAAACAGTTGCAAAAATAATACAAATGTTTATATCTTACATAACCACAGTACAATGATCAAAACAAGAAAACTAACACTGATAGAATATTATTAACTAGTCCAAAAGCCTTAGTAAGATTTCACCGTTTGTCCCAGGGATGTTCTTCTTCTATTTCAGGGTCCAACCCAGGATGCCACGTTGCTTTCAGTTGTCATGTCTCTTTATTCTTCTTTAATCTGGAACAGTTCCTCAGTCTTGTCTTTCATGGCCTTGACATTTTTGAAGAGTTATTCTGCAGATCAGTGCTGTTCAATATAACTTTTTTTTTTTTAACTATCCAGTAGAACTTTCTGGGAGATAGAAAATTATGAAATCTATATCTGTGCTGTCCAATATGATAGCCACATGAAAATCACATTTGGAATGTGGCTAGCAGGGGTGAGGAACTGAATTTTACATTTTATTTAATTTTAATTAAAATAGCTACATGTGGCAAGTGGCTACTGTATTGGACAGGATAGCTGTTGAATGTCCCTCATTTGGGGTTTGTTTGATGTTTCTTCATGATTCGCTTCAGATTATGAGTTTTAGCAAGAATACCATAGATGTGATGTTGTGTCTACCTTTGGTTCCCCGCCAAGATGGCAGGAAACCACTGAGGCTAGGATTTTTATTGTGGCAAAATATATATAAAATTTACCGTTTTAACCATTTTTAAGTGTACAGTTCTGTGGCAGTAAGGACATTCACATTGTTGTGCATGCGTCCCCACCATCCATCTCTAGAACTTTCTCACCTTCCCAAACTGAAACCCTCTACCCATTAAACAAAAACTCCCCATTCCGCCTCCCCCAGCCCCTGGCAACCACCATCCTACTCTCTGTCTCTATGAAGCTGACTACTCTGGGGGCCTCATATAAGTGGAATCATACAGTATTTGTCCTTTTGCAACTGGCTTATTTCACTTAGCATAATGTCTTCAAAGTTCGACCATGTTATGGCATTTGTCAGAATTTCCTTCCTTTTTAATGTATTCCATTGTATGAATATACTACATTGTGTCCATCAGTAGACATCTGGGTTGCTTCTACTTTTTGGCTATCGTGAATAATGCTGCTATGAACGTAGGTACACAAATATCTGTTTGAGTTCCTGCCTCCATTTCTTTGGGTATGTATCCAGAAGTGGAATTGTTGGATCATATAGTAATTCTATTTTTAATTTTTTGAGGAACTGCCATACTATTTTCCACAGCAGCTGCACCATTTCACATTCCCACCAGCAATGTACAAGGGTTCCAATTTCTCCACGTCCCTGCCAACACTTGTCATTTTCTGTTTGTTGTATAATAGCCACCCTAATGGTTGATATCTGCTATAACTGAATGTTTATGCCTACCCCTCCAATTCATATATTGAAACCTAATCCCTAAGGGGATGGTATTTGGAGGTGGGGCCTTTGGGAGGTGATTAGGTCATAAGGGTGAAGCCCTGATGAATGGAATTAGTGCTCTTTTTAGGAGACCCAAAAGAGCTCCCTTGAGGACACAGCGAGAAGACAGCGTCTGGGAACCAGGAAGCAGCCCTTACCAAACGTGGAACTGCAGGCACCTTGACCCTGGACTTCCCAGCCTTCAGAACTGGGAAATAATGTTTGTTGTTTAAGCCACTCAGTCTGTGATGTTTTTGTTATAGCAGCCCGAATGGACTAAGAAAGTATCTCATTGTGTTTTTGAGGAAGCTATATTTTTTTAACACCCTGTGAGATGCAGCAAAGACAGGGTGACAACAGCATTTGGAAGCCGGTCACCACACTCCCAATGTTCTTCCTGCACGAATTAGATATGAGGTCACTGGACTTGGGGTGGGTAGCAGGCAGGAGCAATTCTCGAACCAATCAATATTCACCCTCTCTTGGCTAAACAAGACAGAGCTGACTTTATTAGTTGAGTTCAGGTCTGATATTAACACTTTGTAAATGCTGAATATTGTGAAATATCCCCAGAGTTACCCACTAAACTAATAAAATCTTACCTAAAGAGTGTTCAGGCATCTTCCTACAATTCAGTCTGGGATTCAGTACTGGCTTTGGAGACAGGTATGTACTCACGCATTTGCACGTGATTTCTGCCAAACCTCTTAACCCCTCAGTGTCTTTCTTCCTTTTTTAAGTTGCAGTATAAAGTGTAACAATAAGTGTACAGTTGATGCATTTTTACATATGCCCAGGCTCATGTACCCACCACTCACATCAAGATATAGAACATCTCCATCCCCCTAGAAAGCTCCCTTGTAGCCCATCCGTCACCATCCCCCAGGGGTTAACCAGTGAAATGATTTCTATTTATGTAGATGAGGTTTACCTGTTTTTGAATCTTACCTTTCCTTGTAACTGGGAACAGTGGCATGTACTCTTTGTGCTTGACTTGGTTAGTGCCCATTCATCCCGTTTAGATTCATCCATGTTGTGTGTATCAATCATTTGTCCTTTTTCACTGCTGCATACTATTCCATGATATCAGCACATTACAGTTTGTTTCTCCATTTTCCTGCCGATGGACATTTGGTTGTTTCCAGAGTTTTCCTGTTGTGAATAAAGCCACTATGAACACCATCTTTTGTGCGTGTTTTTAGGTGGACACACACCCAGGAGTGGTTGACGGGTGATAGGATTGGCACATATTTAACTTTAGAAAGGGCTGCCAAACATTTTCCCAAATCTTTTAATCTCTCTTTAAAACGGGAAAAATAAACCTCTACCTGGTTATTGTGAGAGTATTTAATGAGCCCTACAGTATAAGACTTTAAGCCTGTACCAGGAACACAGTGAGCGCTCAGTAATTGCTGGGCTCTGCCCCAGAGGAAGCGTGAGGGGGTTGGCAAGCACTGCAGGAAGATGCCGGCCCCAGATCCCTGGGTGGAGAGGCCTTTCCCACACAGCACTCCGGCCCACACCCTGCGTGCCTGGGGAGCCAACCTTGGCGCCCCTGCGCTGCACCCACCTCCCCCGCCTACCCCCACCCCGATCCTGCTTCCTCAGGCCCAGCATGTGCCTCGCCAGGCTGGGCACTCGCGCCCTTGTGAATTTTGCTTGACATTCGGCGTTTATCGATCACTAACTGTGTGCCAGGCCCAGGAGCGAACAACATAAAAACCCTCGCCCCCTCAAGCTACTCGGCGGAGAAGCTGCTGCGCATAGGAAGCGTGGGGACCGAGCCGGCCGCAGACTCCGAGGTCAGACGCCCGCTCGGTTTCTAGCCACACCCTGGACTTCTCCCGGGAGTTGCTTGAGACGAAGGGAAGAAAATAATCCGCTTCCCCGCGCCCCAGCAGGAACCCGGGTCTCCCGAGCGCCGGTACCGCCGGCCGAGGCCCCGAGACCCGGGGCAGGCACCCCGCCTCCAGGCTTCCAGCGGCCGCGAGGCTCCGCCCCCCGCCGCCTGGCCAATGGCCGCGCGGGCCCGGCCCAGACCCTCCCCCCTCTCCCCACCCTCCCCACACCCCCCGGCCTCCCGGGAGCCGGTTCCGAGCTGGCAGCGGCGGTCGGCAGGACCCCGGGTCGTGGCTACCCGAGGTAAGCTCGCTGCCCTGGGTGCTCGGTCCTCTGGGCTCAGGGTGCACGGACGCCTTTCAGGGAAGTGGCCCGTGGCGGCAGGAGCCGAGGGGGACTCGGAGTCTGCCGGGGCGCACGCACGGGGTGTGGGGCGCGCGGGGGGCCGGGGAGGGGACAGGGCGCGCGGGGCCGGGGAAGAGCGGGTCCAAAGAGGGCTCCACTCGCCGCATCCAGCATCGGGGTCAGGAGGTGGGTGGCGCAGGACGTCTGCTCCGGATTCGGCGAGGTTAGGCCGGAAGGCGACCGGCCTCTGCTGCAGGGCTCCTCCAGCCGCCCGCAGGTTCAGGGTGACCTCTGGTGAGGCCTAGCCCGGATGCACCAACCTCTGAGGGCGCGGCCGCGCCTGGGGGTCGAGAGCTGCCGCCTTCCCCAGGATCTTGACAGTTCTTGGTGGTGACACCTGCTCAGAACAGTCTCCCCTCCCTCCGCGAACCTGGGTCCGGCCCAGGAATCCGGGAATCCGAGCCGAGGCGGTGGGGCGTCGCCCCGCCCGCGTGGGTGGCTGTTTCTTTCCAGAATCTCCGGGGCAGTCAGGTCGGCAACTCTCCTCGCCGCGTCGGTGCAAAACACTCTGCCAGCCCTCTTCACTGAGACGCGAAGGAGGTGCCGGGAAAACAAAAACTGCGTTCTCCGTATGGTTGCTGTGGAACCTCAAAAACATCTGGAAGGACGGTCGGCGACCTGGCAATGGCAGCTGCCGTGGAAGGGGGGGTTAGAATGTCCTCAGCCCTGTCTGAAAGATTTCCTGGCCCCTCCCAGGGCTTGAAGACGGGGCCTATGTGAGCCTCACTTGCTGCACGGGCCTCTGTGCCCTGCGAAGTGTATGGTGAGCTTCAACAAGGCAGCAAGTCCAGGGTTCAAAGTCATGTCAGAGCCAGTGGTCAGCGGTGCAACGTGGCATCTCTTCTCTTCCCATGGGATTGTGGCAAGGATAAAGTGAAAGCAACTTAAGATGTGCCAGCTTATAGTGGACGTTCAATAAACGTGAACAAATACGGGCTTCCTTTGTTTTTGGTTGGACCACATCATAGCCCCATACCACCCAAACTCTGTGCCTAAAGGGCTGAGACTGGGATGCAGAAGAATGCATCACCTGGCTCCCTCCTGGTACCTTCCTGGATGCCATGGGGCAAGGAGAAAAGGGTCTATTAGCCACCATAGAGTTGTTCTTTGCTCATCTGAAGGCTCAGAGGACTCTCATCTCCCCCATCCTCCTAACCTCTGTCATTAGCAGCGGCCCCATCATGGATGTTGTGCTACATTCCTGGTAGTTGGCAAACGAAGTCATGCAATGTGAGGCTGTAAAGCTGGTAGACAGGACTGCTGCCCTGTTTCCCATGTGGCGAGGGATTGGTGGCCTCAGCAGCTTTTGGGCACTCTCTGCTCTGCAGAACTGTCTCCTAGAGACAGGCCTGAGACCCACGTTTCTACTCCAGCCTGGCCCTCTCTCCTCCGCCCCCTTCCCTTCCTGAAAACCCACTTGGACATCCAAAAGCATCTCAAGCTTCACTTGTTCAAAATGGAACTCTAGAGTCCCCTCTGTGCCACTGCTCCTCTCCCAGGTTCTCTGGCCTGTTAAATGCACCAACCATCCACCCACTGCCTGAGGAGTCATCCTTGATTCTTCTCTCTCCCTCACCTCCCACATCCACAAAACACCAGGAATCCAAACGCTTCTCGCCACCACCACCACCATCTCAGCCAACCCCTAAATGTGTCCCTGCCCTGGCCTCCTGACTTGTCTCCCTGCTTCCGTCTTGGCCCTTCCACAGTCCAGGGGCCTCACAGCCGCTGGCAGAGAGTAACGTAAGTCAGATCCTCTCCCTTCCCTGCTGAGATCACTCTGATGGCTTCCTTTTCCACTGCAAGTAAAACCCAAAGTCCTTGCCTTTAACACCCTACATGAATGGTCCGTCCCAACCTCCTTGACCTTGATCTCTGTCCCTCCCCTTAGCTTTCTAAACCTTGACCACTGACCTGCTTTCTATTCTTTAAACATATCAAGCTCATTCCCACCCTAGGACTTCTCACTTGCTGTGCCCTCTGCTGGAAACACCGATCTTCTCACAGCCAAGAACACCTCAGCTCAGGTGTTGCCAATTCAGAAAGGCTTCCTTGACCATCGTGGTTCCAGCAGCGTGCCCTTGGCCAGGGGCTCTGTCTCATTACCCTGCTTTATTTTCTTTATAACCTTTACTACTATTTGGAATTCTTATTTATGTAGATGTTTACTGATTTGTTATCTATCTCACCCCAATAGAATATAAATTGGATGATGGCAGAGGTCTTGTCTGTCTGATTCTCTGTAGCTCTCCCCAGTGAGAGAGGCAAATAAGATGCAAGGAAACAAACACATCTATAATTGCAAATTGTGGTAAGTGCTGCCTAAGCATCTGGTGGCAGTTGCTCGTATTTGAGGCACTTTTATATTTCAGGTTATAAGACCGAACTACTGTAATGTCAAAACAAGCTCTCTGAGCCATTTTAGGGGTAAGGAAAAGCCTGGAAAAGACTGGTAACTTGCACCAGGTCACACAGTGAGGGGAACTCAGCCTCCTACTCTAAGCACATGTATGTAGCAAGCTTTAGAGGTGGCCTGCTGTCATGTTCTGGAAAGAACCTGCTTCTGGATCCTCAGTTCTTTGCTCTTCTACTAACTAGCAAGGCCCCTTAATTTCTTGGTACTTCATTTTATTCGCCTTTAAATTAGGATGGATCCTGTTATTATCATGTTGGGCTGCTGCTTTTTTCCCCCCAGTATACCCCAAAGCAGCAGCATTTCTAGGTGGAGCCCTCTTATTATCAGCAGCTAGGGGCACATACAGAACTGGGGCAGATGTGGGGGGAGCCAGAGTGCTCCCCAACCCTAGCCAACCCTCAGGGCACACATGGGCCCTAGACCCTCTGGATCTGATTCTTTTTGGTTCCTCCATTCATCTGTAAGCAAATTCACACAGGGCCTCTGGGACTCAGGCAATCATAAAATAGGATGATTAAAGACAAAAGCAAAAATTCCAAAGAGTCGAGAAAGAAAGAATTGCCTTTTGTCCAACTCCACGCTCACCCCTGCTGCCATGTGTGGTCTATCTTCTTCTAGTCTCTTTTCATCTCTCTCAGTCCATCCACCCTTCATGGGCCAGAGCCCTCTGTCACTTCAGAACCTGGACAGCGATGACGGTTGCCGAGGACAAGACTTTTCAGTATATCCGCCAGCATCACAGCAATTTTTCCCGGATCCATGTTCTGGAGATTCTGCCTTACTTGTCCTGCCTCACAACCAGTGATCAGGTGAGCCAGGGCGTGACGGCCAGCCATGCACTGGGGTCAGGACTGTGGAATTCCGAGCTTCACCCAAGCCAGGGCCAACTCCTTCCTTCTCCCTCTCCTTGACACTTCTTTCAGAATGAAGTGTGGTTCAAGGTGACCTTTCCGACTTCCCTGAGCTCCCTCTTGTGTTGTTTTGGTGTAGTTCTCAAAAACATGGCGCTGGCTCTCTGAGATTTCCGGGCTCCACCTCTCCCACTTTTATCAGAACCTTCTTTTTCTTCAACTCTCTTGTCCTTGTTCCTGCTCAGTTTTTTTCTTTTCTTTTCTTTTCTTTTTTGTGAGGAAGATTGTCACTGAGCTAACATCTGTGCCAATCTTCCTCTATTTTGTATGTGGGACTCTGCCTCAGCATGGCTTGATGAGCAATGCGTAGGTCTGTGCCCAGGATCTGAACCCACGAACCGGGGGCCGCTGAAGTGGAGTGTGTCAACTTAATCAGTATGCCACCAGCAAGACCCCATGCTCAGTTTTGATTTCATTCTCCTTGTCATGGGACCCTGTCCTGGCAGGGAGCCTGGGGCTCCATTTTTGGGGGGTTTTTTGGGGGTTTTTTTTGAGGAAGATTAGCCCTGAGCTAACATCTGCTGCCAATTCTCCTCTTTTTACTGAGGAAGACTGGCCCTGAGCTAACATCCATGCCCATCTTCCTCTACTTTCTGTGTGGGACACCTACCACAGCATGGCTTGCCAAGCGGTGCCATGTCTGTGCTCAGGATCTGAACTGGTGAACCCTGGGCTGCCAGAGTGGAATGTGCACACTTAACCGCTGTACCACCGGGCTGGCCCCTGGGGCTCCGTTTTGAGAGTTCATGGGAACCAGGCCGCAGTAGCCCGTTAGGACTTCTGTGGGCCCCTAGTGAAGTGGGCCAGACGCCCCCCTCAGTTTTAGCAGTTCTCAAATGGAATCCCATGGCTTTCTGCTTCCTCCGCACAGGTGCGGGTGGCATGCAGGTCCGTGGCTAACGGGCCTCGGCCCCTCCCCCTTGTATTTTGGGGTTTGTGACGATACCTTGCCCCCTCATTCTTCAGTAAACGTTTCTGTGGGTTTTCATTTCTCCTGTCTCGTTGTTCATATGTGCTAAGCCTCAGTTTCCTCATCAGTAGAGTGGAGTAATAATAGCATTATGTAAGATAATTCACACGAAGCCGTGAGTGGAGAGCCTGGAACACAGTGAGAGCCCATTTCCTGGTAGCTGCCTTGAAACTTGGGCTCAAACCCTGGCCTTGTCCTGGGCTCCGACCCAGTTTCAGATGGCTGCCTCCCTCTTGTGCTTTCTCAGGGCCCTCCTCTGCAGCTGCACGCTCCTGAGTAGGGAAGGAAGCAGGGTCATCTGGCTTGAGCAGGGCAGCGGGGCTGTGTCTTCCTGTCTTCCAGGACCGACTGCGGGCCACCTATGAGCGCTGGGGGAACCAGGACACCCTCTTGGAGCTCTTCACCAGCCTTCGGCGGCGGAACGGCTGGGTGCATTCCCTCATTGGGGCACTGAGGGCCTGTGAGCTGTCTGGTCTCGCTGATGAAGTGGCCCGCATATACCACAGCAGCTTGCCGCGTGAGCCTCCTGCCCCGGCCCTCCTCCTCGAACCCCTGCCTGATTCCCCTGGCCTCCACTCTCCCTGTCCCCATACCCCTATCACCTCTGTCACCTTCCCTCCCATCGCTCCTGGGCAGTGGACAAGCCTGGGTGTAGATCCCAGCTTAGCCAGTTATTAGCTGTGTCCTTTTAGCCAAGTCCCTGGATTTTTCTGAGCCTTGGTCTCCTCTATAAAATGGAGCTAATGGCAACATCTAGCTCATAGGGCTGCAGTGGACGCCATGGGGTGATGGCGTGTTGAGTGCTTAGCTGGCACCAGGCACCTCCTATGTGCTCAGCAAATGGAGCCTCCTTTAGTTTCTGTGGCTGTGACATTGGCCTCCCACCCCTTTCTCCCTTCCTCCCGTTTCCTCTCCCTCGGCTCATCTTCCCTCTCTCCACTCCTCTCTTCTCCTCTCCTCCCTTCACTGCCTCCTCTTTCTCCTTTGGGGGTTCCTTCCTTCCTTTCTCCACATCTCTTCCCCTCCCCCTGGTTTCCCTTAGGACCTTCTTGGTCCCCCACCTCAGCGACCCAGTTACTCCCCAGCTCCCTCTCAGTGCTCCCTGCCAGGCCCAGGCCAGAGAGGATTTGATGAGGTCAGGTCTGAGGGGCCGAGACAGGAAGAAAACTCAAGGCAGACTATTTATATTTCAGACTGGAGACAACTCCTGAGACCCTGCTCAGATTTACAGCCTTAGAATATCCCCATGTTGGCCTTTTTTCCTCTTCCCTTCCTTTTCCCTCCCCTCCCTCCTACTGTGTCTCTTCATTTGTGGAGATTAACAGTATTCCCCCCAACCCTGAATGCAAAAGCCGGGGGTTGGGGGCAAAGAGGAGGGGCTGAGGAGGCAGCATCAGGTCAGGGATCAGTTAGTGGTGACAGCCACCCATGAGGAAGAGAAAGCCACTGAGTCCCAGAATGCCTGGGGACAGAGAAATGGTGACTGCTGACCCAGTCTGGCCCGTGAGGCGCCCCACACACTCGCGCCCCCCTCCTACCTCTCCTTGTCGTCTCCAACTCCTCTCTCCCTCCCACTCCTGCCTCCCGCTCAGTGAAGCTTGTCTCCTCTGAGGAGTGCACCCCACATCAGGACAGCTTTGGAGCTGGAGGTCCAAGAGCACCCAGGGCTCTCCTGTTGTTGGGAGCAACCCTGATTCCTCCTTGACACTGCTATATCTTTGTCCTCCAGGGACCTCTAACCGCCCTCCAGCCCCACTGGAGCCGTCATCAGTTCCTGCTGAGGTTCCAGAGCCCTCCATCCCCGCTGAGGCCCCCAGCGCCCCCCACAACGGCTACAGAGGGGAGGAGCCAAGTTACCCCATGCCTGTCCAGGACACGCGGCCGCCAGAGCCCGAGGGAGAGGTGTGTCCTCACAATCTACCTTGGGCCCCCTGCTTTTTTTTTTTAAAGATTTTATTTTTTCCTTTTTCTCCCCAACGCCCCCCGGTACATAGTTGTGTATTCTTCGTTGTGGGTTCTTCTAGTTGTGGCATGTGGGACGCTGCCTCAGCGTGGTCTGATGAGCAGTGCCATGTCCGCGCCCAGGATTCGAACCAACGAAACACTGGGCTGCCTGCAGCGGAGCGCGCGAACTTAACCACTCGGCCACGGGGCCAGACCCATTGGGCCCCCTGCTTTTGTGTTCCTGTCTGCCTACTTCTGCTCACCCAGCCTTCCAGAATGCCTTCCCTGCCCACCACAAATCTTGCCTAATCTCTGCGAGGAACCCCAGGGTTCCCCCAGTGGGGATCTCCCCCAGACCAGCTGCCAGACTGCCAACCAGGGCTTTACCCTGTGGCAGCCCCCAGCCCTCTGTCATCAACTAGCTGTGAGGTCACAGTTTTGAGGTCTTTGCAATGATCTTGTGAGATGTTCACCTTGGCGAGGGACCAGGGGATGACATATGAGAGGGGAATGAGGAAGCAGGAGATGCTGGGGTAGGAGGGGTTAGTAGAGCTGTGATTATTGCCAGTAAAGCCAAGTTTGGGGGAAAGATGACCGATTCTATTGAGATATGATGAGTGGGCAGTGGGGTGTCCAGAAAACACCAAACCGTGGACTGGAAGCTCAAGAAAGGGGTTTGTGCTGTGGCTGCAGGGGGGGAGACCTTTCTACAGGGCCAGACAGATGGATGGGGACTCCCCGTGGGATTTGTGTATGTTTTCTATGAGGTGGGTTCAAGGTTATCTGTAGACAGAGGGCCTGGCAACGATCAAAGTCGAGGCAGGGGCTTCCTTGGTTCTTGTGCTCCATGGCATGCACTGAGGCTGGTGGGTCTAAGGCCCCATGAGTGCAAGCTGCTCTTTGCCAGCTCCTGGGAGAAGCAACTGCCTTATTCACATTTTCCTTCTTGCAGAGTTCAAGGAAAGCCCCAGAAACACCCAGCCCTGGGGCTGTCCTGAGGAGACCAGATGGCCCCCTGGAGCCCTCCTCTGACCTGGCAGCCACCAGCCCTCTGACCTCAAGTGGGCCTCAGGAGCAGGACACAGAACTGGGCAGCACCCACTCAGCAGGTATGCATGGAAACTGGAGTCCTAGGGCCTCTCTGTCCTCCCAGTGAAGGTGAGGATTAGAGTTGCCCCTCTGGCTTCCTTGGACTCCTAGAAGGCAAGAGTGGGAAGAAAGGGAGTTCATGCCAGGGAGCAACCCAATTCCTTAATTTTTTTTTTTTTTAAAGATTGTCACCTGAGGGGCTGGCCCTGTGGCCGAGTGGTTAAGTTCGCGCGCTATGCTGCAGGCGGCCCAGTGTTTCGTTGGTTCGAATCCTGGGCGTGGACATGGCACTGCTCATCAAACCATGCTGAGGCAGCGTCCCACATGCCACAACTAGAAGGACCCACAATGAAGAATATACAACTATGTACCGGGGGGCTTTGGGGAGAAAAAGGAAAAAATAAAATCTTTAAAAAAAAAAAAAAGATTGTCACCTGAGCTAACAACTATTGCCAATCTTCCTTTTTTTTTCCCTCCCCAAAGCCCCCCGATACATAGTTGTATATTCTAGTTGTGGGTCCTTCTAGTTGTGGCATGTGAGATGCTGCCTCAGTATGGCCTGATGAGCAGTGCCATGTCTGCGCCCAGGATTGGAACCAGTGAAACCCTGGGCCCCCAAAGTGGAGCATGTGAACGTAACCACTCAGCTACAGGCCTGGCCCCAGCAACCCAATTCCTTAGAGGATGTAAGGGTTAGCATTTGCTGTGTAACAAACAGTTCCAAAATTTAGTAGCTTAAAATATGACTAATTATTTAGCTCATGATTCTGCAGGTCAGCAATTTGGGCTGGCTCAGCTGGGCAGTTCTTCTGATTTTGGCTGAATTCCCTCTGGTATACACACCAGTGTACACATAAGTTCTGCTTATGGCTGTTGGCTGGGGCACGCTGGTTGTCCTCCATGAGTCTCTCATCCTCAAGCAGACAAGCCCATTTCATGGCAGCTGAGCAGAGTTCTGAGAGAGGAGGGTCTCCTGGGGCATAGGCTCAAAACGGGCACAGCGTTCCTCCTGCCTCATTCTGACGGCCAAAGCTAGTTACGAGGCCAGCCCAGACCCAAGGGGTAGGGAAACAAATTCCGTCTCTAGATGAGAGGCCTGACAAAGTCACATTGCAGAGGGCATGAATACAGGTAGGGGAAGAGAATTAGGGCCACTTCTGCACTCTACCAAAGGGACTCTGTAGGGTTCCACCAGGACGTGAAGGACAGAGCAGGAGAGAATACAGGGCTGGGCCAGCTGTTGGCAGGGGAGCCCGTAGGCACTGTCCTACCCCAAAGGGGTCTCTAGCTCCCAGCAAATCACTAAAACTTCTCAGCCCCCAGAGGAAGTATGGTCTTCATCAGTCCGGGGCCTGGACCCCCGCACCAGACCTCAGTGCTCCCCCTCAGGAATATAAAGCTGTCCACTCTGACCTCCCAGACTGGCGTCTCTCTGCCCTGCTATTTCCCAAACTGTGTTCCACATACTGGTGCCCAGCCAGCCCTCAGTGCTCCTGGGACAGCCACAAGGCACGTGAGCAGTTAAAGGCTCAGAGAAGCCATCTTAGTGCCTAACTCTCCTGTCACCCTGACACTCTGCCCCATTCACCCGTTTGCACTTTGCAATGTTAGCTTTCCGTGGAACACCTTTCAGGAGACGCTGCCATGGAACACCTTTCAGGAAAGGCTGCCATGGACCAGGGAGGCATAGGGCACTTTGATTTCAGTACGTGCATGAACACAGGTCCCACGAGATTCTTTGGTGTTCGATTTGGGACCAGGGACACATCAGAATCACTCCCGGCCTGTGTCAGCTGTAGGGCCTGGAATGTGTGTTCTGAGAAGTCCATGGGGAATGCTGATATAACTGCCTTTATGGACTATCACCACCTGCTCCCTCTTGCTTCCCCCAGTTCAGGCCCTCGTCTCAGGGATGGCTTTGTCCCTCCACTGCCCCAAGCCTGCCTCTGGTGCCACGGGACTGGTGTGAACTCTTCTGCTTGAGCCATCCTGCTGCCCCTTGCCCCGGTCCAGGATTGCTCCTGCTGGTGGTCGAGGAGGAAAGATGGCAGTGGGAGAAGCATCCAGAATTCTACCAGGCTAAGGAGAAGATGGAAAAGGCAGACACAGGAGGAAAGGGGGCCTGTCCCTGTCCCAGGCAGGAGAAGAAAAAGCAGAGAGGATAGGGGCCAGCCCGGTGGCGCAGCGGTTAAGTTTGCATGTTCCGCTTCTCAGCAGCCTGGGGTTCGCCGGTTCGGATCCCAGGTGCGGACATGGCACCGCTTGGCAAAAGCCATGCTGTGGTAGGCATCCCATGTATAAAGTAGAGGAAGATGGGCATGGATGTTAGCTCAGGGCCAGTCCTGCTCAGCAAAAAGAGGAGGATTGGCAGTAGTTAGCTCAGGGCTAATCTTCCTCAAAAAAAAAAAAAAAAAAAGCAGAGAGGATAATTGATAATGATCTTCAAGCTCCTAGACACCGTTAGGGAGGGACCATTTCACTCTTGTGAGAAAACAGACCTAGGGCTGCAGGTCAAGGACTGAGGATAGACGGGACCAAGGATGTGTCTGCAGCTGTTGACCCTTTGGGCCTGGGAGCAGTGAGCAAAGGAACTGTGGAGACTTCTCCATGGGTAGGAGGTTGGGAGGCCTGGATGCAGAAGGGACTTGAGCTGGGGCACAGGGGACCCTTCTCCAGCCCTCTGATCCCAGAGCTACTGTGACTTTAGGGTAACACTCTGGTGGGTTTGTTTCCCCTTTTGTTTTGCTACCTGCAGGCATGGTCTCCGGCCTCACGTCACCCCGTGGGCCTGTGTCTCCAACCGTCTCCTTCCAGCCTCTGGCCCGTTCCACCCCCAGGGCAAGCCGCTTGCCTGGACCCCCAGTGTCAGCTCTGTCTACTGACACCTCCTCCTCCTCCACCATCTTGGCCTCTTCAGGGAGTGCTGGTGACCACGCTGAGGCTACCATCTGCTCCAGTGGGGTGGAAGTGCCCACCACCTCTATGACCACCAGCACAGTGCCCTCCAAAGTGCCCACGAAGCCAGCATTTCCCAGCACAGTGCCTTCCAAGTTGCCTACCAGCTCGAAGCCCCCTGGTACAACGCCTACTAAAGTGCCTGCCAATCAAGCACCATCCAAATTGCCCATCAATTCAACGCGTGCTGGCACAGTGCCACCCAAAGTAGCTACTAGCTTGGCTCCTGACCACAGGATACCCATGAGCATGATGCCCAGCAAGGTGCCTGCCAACACCGTGCGCACCATCAGGAGCAGCCAGAGACCTGAGGAGGTGAGTCCTTGGCCCTCTAAGCAGTGATCCAGGCCCCTTCCCCCAGCCCTGTCCTTGGACTCTTTCCAGTCTCCATTCTGTTTCCAGCCTGCACTGGTCCAGGGTGTAGGGACAACTGAGACCCAGCCTCCTCCAGATCCCACACCGTGTCCTTTAGAGTAGTAATAAACATTGGAGCTCTTAAGTGAGGATGCCTCAGGAGGCTCAGGTGTCGTGGGTCACCCCTGCTAGTCACATGCATTAACCCACGTAGAGCTCACAGCTCCCTGTTAAGCTTAGCAGTGCCATTCTATAGATGAGGAAACTGTGAGGGGTAGGGTAGAGCAGGGCGGCCTGTCTGCCTTGATGCCTTGCTCTTCACCACCAGGTATCCGTGACCTTCCATGGATATCCCAGTCATGCCTGCCCCTCCGTGACCAGAGTTTTACAGACTGCGGTCCCAGTCCATCCAGCCTGGAGCAGCTGCTTTGACCCAGCAGCCCCCACAGCTGTCCCCTCTGAGCCTGCATGTGTAACCCTACTGCTGCTGTCTGCCTGGAGGAACCAAGTCCATGGGGCTCCTTGAGCATGTGGCCAGGCTTCTGACCCCATGGCTGGGCTATGGCCCTCAGGCTCAGGCAGAATGTCAAAGTAGGATGGGGCTGCACATGACCAAAGGCCCTGGGGTGGGGGTGAGCTCACAGGCAGGCTGGTGAGTAGAGAGAGGGCTGCCCTGAAGGAGGTCACCGCTGATGCTGCTGCCAGGCCTTGGTCCCCTCCTCCCCCATGCCCTCCTGCACCGTCAATAGGTTGAGTCCTTAAGAGAGGGTGGCCTCAAGGGCACTATGGGCTGGGAATTTGGGGGCTTGGGTACTGGTTCATGCCGTGGCCTGGGAGTGGGGCTACCCAACCTGAGTTTGCCCCGCTGCCAACTCCAGCCCCTCCTTTCTTTCCCAGGAGACTCCAGCATCTCTAGCACCCACAGGTGCTGCGGCTGCTGGAGGCAGCTCGCCCTGGCCAGACAGCAGCTCCAACAACTGGGGCTCAGAGTCAGAGCTGAGCAAGCCCGGCAGGCTGATATCCCGGATGGACAACCAGCCATTGTCAGTCTGCTCCGCGGACCTCGCCATCAGCTCCAGCGACAGCTTGGGCACAGGGCCTGAGAACGTCCCGGAGGAGAATGAGTATGATTCAGGGTCGGTGGACTCCATCAGGATCCATGTGGCTGAGGACCCCAGTCCCGACCTACTGGAGGGCAACCCCAGGCCGCAAACTGACCAGCATCTCCAGGAGTTCGAAAAGACGCTGTGTGGCTGGACTGTCCCTTGGGTTCAGTGGCTTGGGGTGGCTGCAGCTGGGGCGATCCTGGCTGCGTTCCTGGCTGCGCTGTACCGTAGGCGCCTGCTCCAGTGACGCCCCTGGGCCCTTCCTGCCTTGTGTCTGCTTCCTTCCCTGCAGTACATCCGACCTGAACCACGGAGCTGGGCTGTCCCGCCCGCCTTGTCCCTTTTTCGGGGCTGACAGAGCCTGGATCAGAGGGGAGCCAGGGGGCCTCAGGCCTGGCAGGAGGCTGAGTCATGCCTGGACTGAGTCCTGGGAGGCAGCATTTCCATCCCAGCTTGTGCCCTCTGTGGCTCCCTCACCATCCTCGGCTTTCTGAGCCCTGGGCTACCTGGTGTGCTCCAAACCTCACCCACCTAGCAATCTGGGTTGTTGCGCTTGTCCTCTGGGGGAGGTGCCTCTGTCCAGGCTTTATCCCTGTTTGCCCAAGTCTGTGGATCACGAGGTGCTGCTGGAGGGTGCAGAAGGTTGGCAATGCCCCCCATCCTGCCCTGGTCCCTGGCAGCTAACAGCAGATGTGTGGGTGGGGACTTACAGGACCTCACTCCAGCCCCCAGCAGCTCAGCCTGACGCCATTGCCCCAGAAGCCGTAGGGTGGCCCGTCTCCAGGGATGCAGCTCTTCTAGGCAAGGGTAAGGAGGAGGCCCGGAGATTCCTGTGGACCCCTGGGAGACCGAGGCAGCTGCTAGGCCTGAGGACCACCTCCAGAGCTCCCTCCAACCTCCTCACCCCCTCTCCTCTTTCCCTCCCTCCTGGTCTCCATTCTCTTCAGCTCTATAGGAAGGTTGGGGAGGGGGCACCTGTGGGACAGAGCTCAGGCCAAGATTTGGATTTCAGCTCCACCCCTTCCTGGGCTGTGTGGCCTTGGCAGATGATCAGATTTCTCTGGTCTTGCTTCCCCATCTGGACAGTGAAGATCGTGGCTCATCCTTCACTGGGTTCTTCTGAGACTGAAACATACGGGTGTTTGTCAAGTGCCTGGCCCAGAGCAGGTAGCCACTAAATGCTTCCCCCACCTCTCCCCTGCCCAGCCTGGTAGAGGTGAGGGCATAAGAGGCAGAGTGCCCAGGGGTAAGGCTGCAACTCTGCCGTGTAGGGCGGCCTAGGCCTGCATCCTGCTCTGTCTCTCACTAGCTCTGTGCTCTTGGGCAAGGTGTTAACCTCTCTGTGCCTCAGCTTTCTCACCTGTAAATTGGGGATGAATAGCAAACTTATATATACATATATTTCTTAGTGTTGTTGTGAGGATTAAATGAGTTTATCTATATAAATCTTAGAATGGTTCCTGGCATTTGCTAAGAGTGGGACACGTTGTTATTATCACTGTTCAAATGTGGAGGGACTGGAGCACTTGGCTACACCTTTAGAGGCAGACCCAGACCCTCCTGCCTCGCCCCTTTATATTTGCCCCTTATGTTGTCCTGTGCATTGGGGAATTGTTGGGGAGTAGGGAGGGAGGCATGTCCGCTGGGGCAGCTGTGCAGGATGGGGGCTGGGGTGCCCCCAGCAGCCGGGTGGATTGGGGGTATCCTTGTGGGTTCTTTTCACGCCATCATTGCTGGACAAGGGGCAGGCACAGGAGCCTCTGGAGCTACCTCCATTTCTGGGCTCTGCAAGGGACAGGGACTAGAGCCCTGGGGACACATCAGGGGTACGGGTTGCCGTGGCCCACCCCCAAGCTGTGAGTCTGCAGGGTTCTGCACCCTGCTTAGGCTGCTACAGCCTTTCTTTGCACTGCCCTAGGGGATTTCAGTGACCTAATGACCTCTACTTCAACCTCTGAACTTCTCTTCAACCCTTGCTCCAAACGCAACAACCTGCACCCTGAAACCAGGAGTGGTCCCTACCCAGGCTGTCTGCACCACGCCCCATCAGCCTTGCTCTTGACCAGCCCTCTGTGCTCCTCCCTCCCTTTCAGGCACCCAGGTCAGTAAACAGTTAATGCACAGGTATTAGTTTTAATGTGTTACCCTCCGAGCGTAGCTTTGGAAAGTTTCACAAAAAAAGCAATGTGTAGTCCCAGAGAACACTACTTAAATGATGAGATTTCAAGCACATTGACCAGCTGCGTGGGAGATACTTTTGGCTAAGGTGTGTAGGAAGCATTCAGGGATCTACCTGGCACTTTTCAAATTATGCCTCCCAGAAGCCCTGACTTGGCCGGCATTGAACAGCATTCCTATCTTGGCTGTCGTCAGCCTGAAGGCCTCTAAAATGCCACCTTCAAGCAGGATTGGGAATTGGCTAGTGTATTGAGGCCTGTGGCCAGGAGAGGGTTTGGGGTAGTTGATAAGATGTGTCAGATCTCCGGAGTCCTCGGTTTGGAGTGTGGCTTTCAGCTGCAGGAGGGTGCATATAGGACAGAGACCCAGGCAGGTTACCCTCACTGCCATGGCATGGATGACGTGGAGGCCAGAACCCAATGGGAGGGAGGGAGGACCTCTACCCCCAGTGGTGGGCCCAGCCACCTATAGTTGGAGACTTGGGAAAACACACTTCCCCTAGGGGTAGAGGCTGGAGAGGGGCCAGAGGGCCCAGTGCCATCCTGAGCACTTAGTGCAAACTCACCAGGAGCCAAGGTACCCGTGTATAACTCCCTCTCCACCTTCTGTTTCCCGCTGACACATTTCCCTCAAAGCTCGAGAGCTGCCACTGCTTCTCTCTCCCTGGGAAACACCTGTGGACCCTGCTTGATGACCTATGAAGCCAGACTCTCACCTTATTTCCCTTGCTGGATGTACTCAGATTTAACAGGATTTAGGGGAATTTCTAGTCAAAGATCAGAAAGATGCCCTTTACCCTTTCAGGCCTTGGATTATTCATAGCTTCTTTCAAGAAACATCTTTTATTATGGAAAACTTTCAGATACACACAAAAGTAGAGAAAACAGACTAATAATCCCCCATGTGCTCATCACGCAGCTTCAATAATTGTGGACTCATAGCCAGTCTTGTTCATCCCTGCCCAATTCCCCTTTTTCTGTATAGGTTCCTTTTGTAAGTTAGAGTGAAGGGTTCAGAAAGCCAAGGGGCGGACTTTCTCCCAAGGCAGCGTTAGGTAACAATGAAGAATTCCCCTCTTGGTTTCTTGGCCTCTGTGGGTGACATCCCTATTGAACCAATTCCAAGTATGAGCAACACTGGGTCCCTCTCTTAGGAGGGGACCAGAGGGCTTCCTCCACTGACAAGCTCCTTGGGGGGTCTGGCTACTCTCCTGTGCCAGGTGATGATTGATGGGGGTGTGCAGTGGCAGTTTGCAGCATTACACCAGGGGCCTCCTCTATAATCTGACAGAGCCCTTCCAGCAGCAGAATTTCCATTCTGAGCCAGATTCAAACTCCACAGCATGTCTCCTGCTCTTACAGAAGTCTCCTAGGAATAGAGTCATTCGGGCCTTGAGGTCCATTGCTTTCCACCAACGAACAATCAAGAAGCTGATAGGAACCCCGTCCCCCCACCTCCAGGGAAAGTGGTGTCCAGGATCCCCGGTCTAATCTGTGCTGGAAGTGATAACTCTCCATGGATGAGAATCACATGCTCCCCATGTGCTCACCTTTCTGTTCTTTTCCCTGTAGCCCAGAGCCATGAAGTTCACACCTGGTGCTGGACCTGCTCACCCAGCATTCTTCACTCCTGCTGCTGCCGTTGTTAACAACAGCAATAATAAAAAGGGCTACTTTCCTACCCCTTACCTCACTGTGTGCCAGGCGCTGGGCTAAGTGCTTTACGTATATTAACTCATTTAATCCTCACAACGACCCTACGAAAGGGGTACCATTATGACCCAATTAACAACTGGTCTGCAGGACTGGGAGGGAGGAAGGACCAGAGGTGACAATGCAAGGGAAATCTCTGACCCTGACTCCCAGAGATGGATGCTCTCTACGCCCATGACCCACAGCTGATTGGGTGTCTGGGACCCGGGACCCCATTTAAAGTGAGATTTCACACCAGCATATCTCTGCCCAGTGTGCCAAGATCTGCCACCTGCTGTCATAGTGTGATACTGTGCAATAGATAGTTAATATAGTCCCAGAGATGTTGTAACAATATGACTATAATCATCCTGTGTGTGCCCAGGCTTAATGGTTTGAGGCCGTGTGAGGTGGGGCAGGGGACACAAGCCTAAAATGCCAGACCTCCAGAGGCCGGTTTGGTTTGGCAGACATTGTTTATTAAAAGATTCTCCCGTGCCAAGTCCAAGCCTAAAATGAGTAAGACAGCTGCATACCCTCCGGTGGCTGGGGATGGCCCACAAAGTGTGGTGGATACAAATAGACTTTCATATCATTCTTTCATGTATTTATACAACAAATATCTATTTTGAACCTACTATGTGCAGAGTACTGGGATAGGTCTTGGAGACATAGAATAATAAAGCAAAGACCCCACCCCAAGAACCCCCTTCCATTGTCTCCAATACAATTGTGAGTGGTCTAAAGAGGTGTTCCAGAAGCGTGAGGGGGGGTGGACGGAAGGGACAACTGTTTTGATCAGTTACATACTATTAATAATTATAACCACCAAATCCAAGAAAACAGTAACACTTAGAGCCTATAGGGAATAAGAAAAATATTAAGTATAAATTTACAAAGATACCCACCAGAAAGGCTAAAATGAAAGTGTCTGACAAGATCAAGTGTTGACGAAAATATAAAGCAACTGAAACTCTCAAACTCTGGGGGAAATGTAAGTTGGTAAAACCCTGTTGTAAAATTGGCGGTATCTACTAAAGCTGAGCGCATGCCAACCTAAGACCCAGCAGTTCCACCCCTGGATACATACACAACAGAAACAAGAGCTTATGTCTACCAAGACATGTGCAAGAATGTTCCTCACTGCGCTCTTCATACTTGCCCCAAACTGGAATCCACCTAAATGTCTCTCCACGGTAGAATGGATATATAAGTTGTGGTGTAGTCACACAGTAGAATACTAGTATACAGCAATGAGTATGAATGAAAATATTGCTACACGTAACAATGGATAAATCTCACAGGCACGATGTTGAGCAAAAGAAGACAGTACACACAAAAGTGCTCGCTGGATGGTTCTACTTGTAGAAAAATAGAGAAATAAGCAAAATTGATCTATGGTGTTGGGAGTCAGCATGGTTACTTTGGGAGGGATAGAGCCAGGAATGGGTGTTCTGGGGCGTGGCTCTACCTCCTGGTTTGGGTGTTGGTTTCATGAGTATTTCAGTTTGTATTCAGACTTCCTGCTGGAGATGTGGAAATAAACCAAGATCATCCAAATGAGAACAAGCAGAGGCTGTTCATTCAGAGCTTGCAAGGGAGTCAGCCACCATCACTTGCGTTTGGCAGGGAGGGACTCAAAGCAGGCAGGGAGTGGGAAAACTTTACGGTGAAAAAAGGAAGGGAGGCTCCAGGTGTGCTGTGATTGGAGGTTCTTTGCCTGGGATGCCGGAGGGGGCCTGACCAGAAGGGGGGCATCTTCCGTGATTGGTTGGAAGCATATTTGGCTTTCTCTGGTTGATCCTGAGTTGGAGAGAGGGCAGAGTGGTTGGGGATTGGGAAGAAGCTGGCACACCAAGTCCTGATCATGCTGGGCCCATTGCTGCAGAGGTGGTGGTTTGGCTTTCCAGGCTGGTTACTGCAGAGAGTTCTATTGTCATATATGGTCTGGCCACTGTCATTCGTATATTCAGTCTCTAGGAGGGAAGCGTATGGGCCTCCACTGCTGGAATGGGCTGGGGGTGGGCACATACACAGTTCTTCCACATCTCATCCCTCCCTGGGGTCAGTGGTGCCCCCCATTCCCCCAACGTGAGGCCAGTGGCTAGAAGGCTCTGCTCCCAGTATTGCTTAGCTATCACACCCACCAAGGTTCTTTTTTTCTTTAAGGCCTGGCTTAAAGCCCAGCTCCTGTTCCAAGTCTTCTTTGATTGGACCCCTCTCACTTATTAGCCTTCCTAAATTCCCATGGCTTACCTCAGCCTCTGCTGTGTAAATTCCCATCTCCTTCCTTGCATTTGAAAAACCTACACTGAATATTTTCCTTCCACTTACTCAGTGCCGTTTCTATAAAAGCAACAGCAACAAAACAAAAAATAACATGCCCCCAAACTCACAACTTTTTGTTCAAGTAAAACATACATACTAAAAAAGGGTACTCAGAGACAGGATCGGGTGGGGGGCGGCCAGAGGGTGGAAGTCAGGAGAGAAGATGGGAGGGGGTGGGAAAGGGGAAGAAGGGGAGGAAGCCCTGGGTTCTAGTTCTGGGTCCACACAGCCAACTCCTGGTGTCCCTCACCCTCCTGGACCCGTAAACCATGAGGCTGGACCAGGTGATGTCAAATACTGCCTCCTCCGTAGCTTAGTCCCCCAGCCCTTGAGTGTCCTTGGCATTAATGGCTGCGCCAGCTTCCTACCCCTCCTGTGTGCTCCTCCCCCAGCCCCAGGTGCCATTGCCATACTATCTGAATCACTGATTTCCTAGCAATCAGATGCTGTCTTCTATTTAATCAATTCGCTTGTATTTAACATAAGAAGAAAGAAAAAATCTTTTCATCATCACATGCAGCTGGAAATCGGCTTCTTGCACGAGGCCTATCCAAAGGAATTGGGAAAGAGAGAAGCTGGTAATCGTTGAAAGAATTGCTCTTTTTCCTACTTGCTGTCACGATGTCCTTAGAATTATGAGTCCAAGGACACTTGTTTGCAGTCATTCTGCTATTATTACTTCTAGAACTTAAAATCCTTTACCATTTCCTTCGTTCAGCCCATAATCATGAAGGTCCGAGCCTAGTGAGGCTACTGCAGTGATGTAAACGGAGCTTTCAATCTGGGGGCTTGTTCGGACCTCTCCCCTTTTCCCTCCTGCTTCACTCTCAGGGCGGGTGGGGGAGAGGGGTAGGGGGTTCTACTCAGAGACAAGCTACGCAGCACTCAGAGCCTGGAGGAGGCTGTCACTTTCTGGGCTGGCTCTGTGGACTCCTTCCTTCCCACCCAATCCAGGGGTGTCAATCTCCCCTCTGAATTTTCAACTTCCTTATAGTCTCGTCTCTTTAAAACATCTTTTAGGGGCCAGCCCAGGGGCTGAGTGCTTAAGTTCACATACTCCGCTTCGCTGGCCCAGGGTTTTGGCTGGTTCAGATCCTGGGCGTGGACATATCACCGCTCATCAGGCCGTGCTGAGGCGGCGTCCCACATAGCAGAGCCAGAAGGACCAACAACTAGAATATACAACTATGTCCTGGGCGGCTTTGGGGAGAAGAAAAAAAAAGATTGGCAACAGATGTTAGCTCAGGTGCCAATCTTTAAAAAAAAATCTTTTAATTATACAAGTAATACGTGAATATGTGCTTGCTGTAAGACGTTAAAATACCAAACTATACAGTTATATAGGCCAGAGTTTCTCAAACTTCGGGATAGGTACAAATCCTCACGAGATCTTGTTAAAGGCAAGTGCTGACTCACTGTCACTGCATTTCTAAGGAGCCCTTTTTGAGTAAAGACAAAGAGCAACAATTGAAAATGCCCTTCCCTCCCCTGCAATCCTGTTTTCTTTTTAGGGGGTTTGATAAACATCATTCCTTGCCTTTCTCTATGCACTTCTGTGCCATTTGGTAGCCCTGACTTAATCCCATCCTTGACTTTGGGGCTGGGGACACTCTGAGGTCCTGTTCATAGCAGTGAGTGCAGGGCCTTCTGGCCTCCAGCCTCCTCTACAGCTCCCTGTAGCGCCACACAGACGATTGTTACCAAGCTTAGTAAGTCTTTGCTGAATTGAATTTAGTTATGCAACAATCCAAACAATTTGGTCATTGTTTCAGTTGGTTGAGGACTCTCTGGTTCTGGATTTTTTCCCACCATGTGCAGGATGAGCCACCCTAATCACTGATGAAATGGAGAACGGGGCAAAGCCAGAGCCCCACACAATGCTACTCAAGACCATTGGCCAACTGACCTTGTCATTAGTCAATTAATCAGCACTCTACTCTCCCTACAGTCATCTAATAGGTAAGAGTATACACAAAACAACCCCTGTGGAGGTGTATCTGTTAACTAATGCTGCACAAGAAATGATGTCAAAACTTAATAGCTTAAAACAACACATTTAGTATCTCAGTTCCGGTGGGTTAAGATTTCAGGTGCAGGTTCGCTGGGTCCTCCAACTCAGGGTCTCTCTCAAGGCTGCAATCAAGGTGCCAGCAGGGCTGATGCCATCTCGAGGCTAAATCTGGGGAGGATTCACTTCCAAGCTCACTCATGTGGTTGTTGCGGGATTCAGTTCCTCACTGAACTGTTGCTTTGAGGACCTCACTTCCTTGATGGCTGTTGGCCAGATGTTGCCCTTAGTTCTTCCACATGGACTTCTCCATAGGGTAGCACACAACATGGCAGCTTGCTTCATTAGAGTAAGCAAGAGAAAAGAACTAGAGGGAGTGTGAGAGCAAAACAGAAGTCACAGTCTTTTGTAACTTATGTTGGAAGTGACATCCCACCATTTTTGTAAATTGCACTCAAAGGGCAATTTACCAGGAAGTGGGGATCATTGGGAGCATCATCTTAGAAGTTTTATACCACGAGAATTGACTTTGGCTCTGTCCTGCAAAATGACATACATATTTATCTTTGACCTAGCAATCTCATTTCTAGAAATCTAAGCCAAAGATACTTTGCAAAAATAAACAAAGATGTATGTACAAGGCTGTTCATTATGGCACACTTTGTAAATAGCAAAAGACTGGAAATGAGCCAGGTGTCCGTCAAAGGGACACTGTCTGAACAAACCATGGTATCTCCACCTTGGAGTGCTAGGCAGCTGTAAAAAGGAATGAGGAATTTTCTTATACTGCTATGGAGTGAACTCCATGATGTTTTGCTAAATGAAAAAACAGCAAAATGGGGAATTGTATACAGCTTGTTTTAATAAAGACCAAATAAAGGTTTTGTTTAAGAGTTGAGGGTTGGTGGAGGAGGGGACTCTTGGAAGCTTGGGCCTGGTCTCCTCTGGACTTCGCCCCATGCAGCTTTCCCCTTGGCTGATTTTGCTTTGTGTCCTTCCCCTGTAATAAGTCTTAGCCATGAGTAACACTAAACCAAAAAAATTACTACTAAAACAACAAAAAAAGAGGAGTCAGCCCTGTGGCTGAGTGGTTAAGTTGGCACTCTCTGCTTCAGTGGCTGGGGGTTTGCCAGTTCAGATCCTGGCTGCAGACCTAAGCACTGCTCATCAAGCCATGCTGTGGAGGCATCCCACATAGAAGAGCTGGAGTGACTCGCAACTAGGTTATAGCTATGTGCTGGGGCTTTGGGGAGAAAAAAGCAAAAAAAGAAGAGGAAGATTGGCAACAGATGTTAGCTCAGGGGCAACCTTCCTCAAAAATAAAAAATCATAGGCTTTTAAAAAAAGTTGAGTGGCTGGCCTGGTGGTGCAGTGGTTAAGTGTGCATGTTCCGCTTTGGCGGCCCGGGGTTCACCAGTTTGGATCCTGGGTGTGGACATGGCACTGCTTGCCAAGCCATGCTGTGGTAGGTGTTCCACATATAAAGTAGAGGAAGATGGGCATGGATGTGAGCTCAGGGCCAGTCTTCCTCAGCAAAAAGAGGACGATTGGTGGCAACAGTTAACTCAGGGTTAATCTTCCTCAAAAAAAAAAAAGTTGAGATG